ATCGACGATGACATCTATACTACGGAAGTATTTGATGAGAAAATATGATAGGAAAGGTTTGATGAGCAGTCATGGGACACTCAAAGGACAAACCCCGGGTATTGACCAGTCACGGAATATGGTGATTTATTCCCAGACAAGGTGCCGAACGGATTGCCATTTGACAGAGGCATTCATCGTGAACGTTCTGGTACAAAATATTGTATATCATGGCAGTTATCGTTGCCTCAAGAACAAGTCATTGCGATAAGCGAGTTCTTCGCGCAGCGACAGCAGGCTGGTCTTGTGCGTGAGATTAAGTCTCCACATTGTAGTCCAACCTTATGTGTAGAGAAAGTCACAGGTGGTTGGCGCATTGTTAACGCTTTCAATAAATTGAACGATGCGACCATACCTGCGAAGACTCTGGTTTCAGTCAAGAATATGATTCTTAATGGAATGGTTGGCAGTACTAACGTCAGTGCTATCGATTTGAGAGTGAGGTTTTTTTCCAGATAGGAATGCGCTAAAGTGGTACACCAATGACTGCAGTCAGTACCCCCAGTGGTATGCTGTGGGAATGGTTAGTGAAGCCACGAGGTGTCAAGAACACCCCCGAGACTTTAAACATTATGGTCACGAATCTACTTCGTCCTTTGAGGGGTTTGCATCTAGATATATCAGTTCATAGTTAGAAAACGGTGAGAAGTCAGAATAAGCTCTACGCTAATCTAAAATGCATTTTCCTTGCATCAGTGACTCCAGTTCTCGGCTGCTATGTGGGCAAGAATGGCGTTCGTGCAGATTCGGAGAAAGTCAAAGCTATCAATGATTGGCATGTGCCAAATAATGTGGAACTGCTACGAAATGGTGGGTTTGGCCATTTTGCACATAAACACGCGCAGCTACGCAGCGTTGGTGCAACCCCTAACGACTCTTTAAAAAAGTACGTTGAGTGGGATAGCCAAAAGATTACCAGGCGGTATACGCCGAAGTGAAGAACAGCTTAACATGAGCCTCTGTTTTTACGATTGTAAGCAACGAAAAGACTTTTCATTTTGTCTGCGATGTGATTGATTATGCCATCAGTTGTGCGTTGATGCTACAGAATGATGAGGGTTGAGTGCGAATTGTTTCATAAGAATCGCGACAATGCCGGTTCGTGAAAGTAGCTATCCTGTTAATGACGAACATCTTCTAGCAATGAAGTATGCTTAAGTTAAGCTCCGTGTGTACTTGCTTGGAAGGAGCGCTTTGCGATCTATACAGATCAGGCATCACTTAGTACTCAGTAAAGACTCCTCGTGCATCGCAAAGAATGGCTATGGTTTTTCATCTTTTCGAAGTACAACTTTGTTGCTTACTACAAGCCAGACAAGACGAATATCATGGCCGATGCATTGCCAAGACGTCCGGGCTATGATCCAAAGTCCAGGAGCGACAACATGCACCAGTCATGTCGACAATGCAAAGATGTTCAAACGTGCAAGCTTAGACTACAGTGCTTGAAGAAATTGTCAAAGGGTACAAATGTGATGAGACATGTCAGGACTTGCTGAGGTACATCAATAACCCTTCCGACAAAGTACTGCAAGGTCTTCCTTCTAGCACAAAACCGCGTGGTCGCCGTTTTGGAGTACACAACGGATTGTTGTACTATGCGGTTAAACACGGGATAAAGTAAAAATTGTTGTTTCAAAAAGCGAAGGTTTGCGCCATCGTCTATTATATGAGTACGTTGACAGCCCCGAAAAAGACTGAGAAACGTTTTTCTCGGACATGAGAAAACGTTTCTCAGTCTTTCCTGGGATTGATATTGGCCTTACATATATAAGTTGGTGCGCAAGTATGTGAGAACCTGTAATATTTGCCTGAGAGCAAAACCATTGTGTTCCACTCATGCCCCATTGCGGCCATTGGCAGTGCCAGCTGACAGCTGGATGTCTGTGAGTATGGACTTCATATTCGGACTTCCACTTCGCACGCATAGACGCAGTGGCATCCTTGTGATAGTGGACCGATTCCGCAAGATGGTTCATCCTGCGCTTGGTTACGAAAAGCGCTATGCCAAAAAGACAGCTAAGGTCTCTGTAGACGTCATTTTTTGTCCACATGGCCTTCCTATTGAGATCGTGTCTGACCGTGACTCCCGTTTTACATCGAAATTTTGGTGGTACTTTTTGGACTACATTAGACTTCAAATTGTCAAAGCCAACAGCAGCATACCCGAAACGGACGGTCAAAGTAGAGCATGTGAATCGAGTTATGGAAGACGTTTTGTGTAGTCACGCTACGTCGTTCAGAGAGTATCATCTTGCAGAGTCTGTGTTGAACAACTCCACGCATGTCTCGACAAGTCCTTCGCCGTTTTATGCGAACTATCCATAATGGGCGAGGTTTCTACCATTAGTGAGGAAAACTATTGGTTTAGAGTCACAGTAAGACCTAAATGCTATCACACATATAAAAGCGAATTTTGACGCAATAAAACTGCTAGACGACATGACAAGTTCCGAATAACAGCACTTAGATTACTTTATCGCAAAGTCAAAAGCCATTGTTCGCTTTGTTCGAAACATGATTGCAAAAGCTCAGGATCTGCAAAAAGTACAAGCAGATTAGAGCGGAAGCAAGAGCAAGAACGTATATAAGGTCAATGATCTAGTGCTACTCTCCACGACAAAACTTGCCTGAACATGCAGTGTCCAAATTGGGAAGCAAGGAGATTTTACCAAGATTCATAAGACCGTTTGTAGTGAGAAAATGCAATGATGATGTGTATACATTAGTCATCCCTACACGCACGCGCCCACATCCTGCAATTTATGTGGGTAGGCTAAAGTCGTATCTTTCAAGTGGTTCTGTCGATCCTACTCTACCTTTGGTAGATGATCGAGCTGATCATGAGGTTTTTTCATTTGTCCACGAAGTGCAACCAACTCTTTACCCTGGAGATTTTCTCGGATTACAAGCCTTGAAGGACATCGAAGGATTGCTCCTTTCCTCATTCCAACGCTTGAAGGCGAGAATGGTACTACCTCGAGAACAGGACCTGCCTCTTCAACAGAGCGCAACAGGTGTTCTTGATACATCTAACGAGACTTCTCGCCCGTCGGGAGTCGAACAAGTTCATTTTGAACCTTTTGAAGCTTTACTTCAAAATTAGACTCCATAGCCGAGCATTCGGTGGAACCATCAGCCAAAACGTCAAATTTCGAGTTCTGCTGTGCAAGAAGGCTCGAAAGGCTCCTGCAGCGATCTTCAAGCTTGAAGCAACGCTGCTGCAATGCCTCAATTTGCCCGCGATGAGCGCTCTATCACTTCCAGAGTTGCTTAATCATTTTCACGTTGAGCACCACCTCCGGTATTATTGTCTCGTATAAAGCATCAATGGGTGGTTGAGACGATTGTCAATCACAAGGATCGATCGACTCGTCTTATAAAATGAAGAAGTTGAACCATCTACGCTTCTTTAGAGCTCGTTTGTGCGGCTATCGTTTGGACTCAGACACGTGGAACCCTCGCCAGGCCTTAGATTCTGATGTTCCCGACGATTTTCGCAGCTACTATAATCTCTTGTTGTGTTGCTTGAAGCAACACATCGACAACAAGAGCTTGGTTGTTCTCGGTCGTGACTGGGAGTCCTACCAGCACCAATTCGGCGAAGCAGACGTTCCTTTTAATTCTTGTTTTCAAGGCGAGCAAATATCCACCACCAGTCAGGCTCAGCTGCGAAGGGATGGTTCGGATCATCACGGTTGTAGATCCGACACCAACGAAAGAAACGTTCTATGTAGAACCTCTTATCTTCATTTGGGTTGATAATGGAGAAAACGTCAAACTTCTGGAACCGTTCTTTGCCGTTGGGGCGAAGAACGCTCTTTCATGTTGGATTGTTCAATTGATAGCTCCATTGATGGTCGAAAAGTGTGCTGCTCAAAAAGGTCTGCAGAATAATAACTTTTTTACGTTAAGAATAGGATGATTTAACAGCTTACACTGAGCCATTACATAAAAGTCCATTCATGTACCTTCTGTACATTGATATTAAAGTTGATATAAAAATTGATATAAAAAAATTAGTCGTAAAGAGGATTAAGTAAGAAAGGTTACAGTACGGTGTTCCCGAATGTCTACGTTTCTTACATGTATAACATTTTGTGTGAGACAAAATGCTGGTTCCTACTTGGGGATATGTACTGGTAACCCGACCGACGTGTCTCAGCCTTTTGAAGTGGTTGGCGTAAGCTTGTCCCTTCTCCTGGATACATTCCACGAAAGTTAAAGTTCAATCTCCGCACACCTAAGATCATTTATTTGTTAAAGCTAAGGCTCAATCTCAGTACACCTTGATTTGTAAATCCAAATTCCAAAATTTTATTTGTAAATTCTTATTGAGCCCTTGGGTTTTTCTGCATTGAGCTAAGAACCATCACTCATTTTTATCTAGTTGAATTTTATCTTTAAGGTAATAAGTCATTATCCTTTTCCCAAAGTCGGTACTGTCCTTATCCCTCCACGTCGAAAATCACTTCCTCGTCGCATACGCGTGTGTTTTGTGTTTGAGGGAGACTATCTGTGAAAAGCGAGTAGTTATATATTTAACGGATTTTTCCGAATAGAAGACCTTCTACTATTACAAGCCCCCATCGAATTTTCGAAAATGTCCTATAAATTAATAACCGCTTCGATTTAAAGACCTCTTAAAAAAAGGCCGCTGTAAACACCTTAGCATTGGGCCGTTATTTTGAAATCGACCATGCGTC